ACTAAATTGCCGGGATGAAAAATTTCTTCAAACGTCAACATTCAGGACAAGACGTCAGCAGCAGTAGTTAGCGGCGAACCGGTGAAAATGGAGATATTGTACACTTTACCCTACCAACTTTTAGAAGTTCCAAATCTCAAGGTTAAATGGCCGTCATGGTTTCGTCAACCCTCAGCGATGACCGTTTACGCCATGGTGCTTCTATCTTACTTCTTGGTGACAGGCGGTAAGCTATCTTGTCAACCTAACCTTACGGTCTCTCAATGTTTTTCTATAAGCTTTCTTTGATTGAACCTTCAACTCTTCAATGAAAAAATATTTGCCCACTAGCGTCGTCGTATTTTTTTTTTAACATACTTATAGTATGCTTTACATGTTACCAGGATTTAGCTTGTCTTATGTGACATTAACTTAGTCAACATAAAGCTATTCATAGAATCAAACTTTTCACATTTCCCCTTTTTTTGCTAAATTCAGGAGTTATATACGATATAATCACAGAGACACCAGGCTACGGATCAGTGACTGATGAACGAGGCACCAGAACAGTGAGTGTACAGTAGTTGAAAATTGACATTTTACTATCAACTTCTTGTAACTTTTCAGATTTTTAATGAAACTTGATCTGTAGGTGGCCATCATGCCTCACCGTCTTAACGGCCAGTATGTAATAGAGGGTTTGACATCATCCTTCATGTTCACCATGGGAGGGTTGGGCTTCATTGTGCTCAACCAAACTCACAGCCCATCAACACCAAAATTCAACCGGCTGTTACTCATAGCTGTTGGATTCCTCTTTGTCATTGTTGCATTCTGCTCTTGTTGGATCTTCATGAGAATTAAACTTCCGTAAGTACTCTAGTATTTTCTTTTCACGTTTGTGACTCGTTGTGATTATTAACAAATCTAATATCTTTCAGGGGATACCTCCACTCATAAACTCATCTCCTTCCATGAACTACATTAATGGTGACCTCGACTTGTCTAAAACCTCATATATTATTCTACTATCCCTTTTGTATAAGATATAATTTTCAGATAATGAATAAAGGTAGTGTCTTTTATTTTTGCTCTCTTCTTTGTAATGTTAACTGTGATTTAACATTGTGATTAGGATAATTAGTCAATGAACAACCAAATCTGACCATACGTACCATTTTTTTCTTTAATTCTCACAACCATAAAGAATTTAAGTAAAGCTTAAGGAGGTACTGAGATGCAGTTAAGATAGATAAGTTAAAGAAAGTAGGAACAACAAATTGTAACAAGATCTCATGGCAGAGGCTCAGGGAAGTACTGAGAAGCAGATTAATAAGTTAAAGGAAATCAAAACAATAAATTGTAACAAGATCTCATGGTAGAACCCTAGACATATGGGTAGCAATTAAAGGGTCGGGGTGTACAAAATATTGAAATTCATTATTACAATAAAAAATTCTGGAGTTTTCTAGATTGTACAATGAGATTCCACATTCTAGTTCCACTTAGTTGCAAGAGATGAGTCAGTCTTCAGTTGAAATGCAGTGAGTAGTTCATCTTTGGCAATTCATGTAGTATATAGTTCAGTTAGTGATAAAGAAGGCATTACAGGCGTATTCGGAAGGTGCTGAAATTAAAATTAACATATACTTGTTGGTGGGTGGAAGTTTGACCACAATATGATTCAAGTGACAAGTGCATGTTAAAAGTTTTTTACCTGCAGAAATCAGAAGACTTGTCAATAATATGTTCAAATTCAGCAAAAGAAAGGGCACCATCTTCATCTAAATCGGCTTCATCAAGAATGTTCTGAATTAAGTTTTTCATATCAGATTCACTTAATCTCTGAGATCCAGTAAGCCGTTCAACAACTTGGTGCAGGTCCGTTTCTCCAAGCATATCATCCCCATCAAAGTCTAAGGGAACAAAATAGTCACACATCAGTGAGATTGACGAAATAGTAGAGCTTTGAATGATGAAAAAACATATTTATGGAATACTCACCAAAAATTCTAAAAGCATGCTCAGCCTTAACACTTTTGGGTGCAGCATCACTAAAAACTGACATCATATCCAAAAAGTCCTCAAAAGTGCAGTCTCCATCATGGCTTGAGCTGAAGGCATGGCATATTCGATCTCCAAAAGGATTAACCTTCAATTCTGGGTAAAGCAGTATTTTTGACATAGGCAGCTTGGCATTTTTGTTGTGACCAACTCTTTCTGGAGCTAAGGCTTTAAACTTCTGATGTGCACTGAACACAAAAATAGGAAGTATGGTATGTAGATAAAATAAAGGGATAAAAATATTGATACGATTCAATTACTTACTACAACACTTCTTTTTTAGTGAAATACGTCAGATCCTGCAATAATTAAGAGACATAGACTAGTAAGAATCTTCAAGTAACATTGTTTGACAACGTTTGTGGAACTAAGGTTACCTGATAATCTTGAAGTTCCTCTTCTGTAAATTGACTTTTACCTTGCCCCATTTTTGTAAGTTTACAACAGAATTATGGCTAGAAAAGAATTATGAACCCATATCTCCACACTTCAGACAGCTCTTTGCGCTCTTTGGCTCTCAAAGACTAGACCTAGCAAGAAAGAATATTCTCCTGCTCCTGCTCGGAGTTGTTGACCCACAGACAGACAGACAATCTGACAGATCTGACAGATGCAGAGCAGACGATGTTGACAACGGAAGGCCAGTGGTCTTACAGGACTACCAATACTTGGATTCTCAGACAGACTAGAACTAGAAAAAAGGCCTGTTATGTGAACAAATTTATCATTTTTAGTGTTAAAAGTACTGACTCAAAATTTTAAAAGGGAATCACTGAAATGTATTCAAATGATTTGATATCTACGTAAGCTCCTAAAATCCTATTGAAACGATGCTGTAAATAATGTGCTGGCTTATTTTCAGGCATGTTTTCATTGTTCAGGAGGTTAGGGGTTACGGTTTTGTAATGTTGTAATTTTCCTTTTTTGATTCATAAAATAAATTTGGTGAGGTAATCTGTCAATGTGCTTAGTAAATACTTAGAAATAAATACCAATTATGAGGAGTGGACTGCGCTGGGCTTCAAGAATAACTTCTTCCACTCAACCAACCAAGTGCTCAAAATGATCTTTAAAAAGAGTATATTGAACAATAACTTACTTTTATTTGCTTGCACTTTATTTTTTGTTGTAGTTATTTTATATTTTGAAATAAGAGTTTTAAATTTAGAAGGGACTAACGACAAGTTAGGTATGTTGCCTTATTTTTTTCTTCTCTAGATTTGAATGTAAATTAAAGAAGGAAATGCATTGCAATACATCCTATTCTTTTCAGTTTCTGAAGTAGCAATCGTCAGGAAACAGATCTTGGTAAATAATGAAGCAAGTATACCCTCACCAATAATTGGCGGAGGAGCTGGTGGAGGAGCACTGGTTGAGGTGCCAAATGTCAACTTGAGGGACAGAAAAGACTTAGTTGTAATATACAATCGCGTTCCCAAAACTGGTTCAACAAGTTTCATCAATGTTGCCTATGACCTCTGCCGATTGAACAGCTACCATGTACTTCATATAAATGTGACAGGGAACATGCATGTTCTATCCTTAGCAAACCAGGTAAGCTTTTATTTTTTGTGACTTTCTTGTGTGATTTCTGTCTTGATTTGATCTGTTAAAATCAGAATATTCACTCACAACAGGCAAGATTTGCATTTAATGTAAGCAAATGGGACTCAATTAAACCTGCGTTATACCATGGTCATATAGCTTATGTTGATTTTGATAAGTAAGTTCTACTGTCTTGCAATGTGCATTTACTCTCCCTGTACTCTGTAATGTTAACTCTTGCTTTCTTGCCTAGGTTTGGAGTAAATTTGAAACCAGTTTGGATAAATTTGATTCGGCGCCCTCTTGATCGTCTGGTATCTTATTATTACTTTTTGAGATATGGTGATGATTTTCGTCCCTATCTTGTGCGACGAAAGCATGGTGATAAAGTAGTATGTAACATTTTATGCCTAACTTTTCATAACAGATTAATTACATCGCATTGAAAATTAGATAATTTCATTCTTTCATATATTTTTTCTTTTAGACTTTTGATGAGTGTGTTGAAAAAAAGCAGCCTGATTGTCACCCTGATAACATGTGGCTTCAGGTACCTTTCTTCTGTGGTCATTCTGCTTTGTGCTGGTAATTTTCTAATTTGTATAATTTAAAATTAACCTTAATATGCAAGGCAGAGATATATTCCTTGCATGTGGAATCATAACAATGTGTCCTCATTTTACAGGGAACCTGGCAACAAGTGGGCTTTAGAGGAAGCTAAACGAAATTTGATCAGCCATTATCTCCTGGTTGGTGTGACTGAGGAAATGGAGGAGTTCATTCGTCTTCTTGAAGTAACTCTCCCAAGTTTTTTTCAAGGAGCATCCAAACACTATTTAAGTAGTAAGAAGTTGCCATCTTTTTAAACCTTAAGTTCATTTTAAATCTGTTTTCCCTTGACTATATTATTTGTTATGTGTGTTTTATAGGTAAGAAATCACATCTTCGACGAACAGTACAGAAGGCAGATCCATCTCCTAGCACAATTAAGAAGATTCAGGATTCAAAAGTTTGGCAAATGGAGCAGGAGCTGTATGATTTTGCCCTTGCTCAATTCCATTTCATGAGGAAAAGGACTCTTGGATTAAGTGCTTCAAATAAAACATCTCAGTTCACCACTGAAAGATCTCAACAATTTATGTATGAAAAAATTCGTCCCAAGTAACTTTGTTTTCTTTTACAAAAAGATGTTTGGTTTTTGTGCTTCTGGAAAATTTGCATCCTTAGCCGCTCTCTTAAAATTTATTTTCTATCTTAAAAAGAAAATCTGGTTTTTGTGTTTCTGGAAAATTTGTATCCTTAGCAGCTCTTTTAACCTTTCTTTTCCTTACTATCTAAGAAGAAGTTTAGCATGTTTGCCCTTACTAATACTATTTTCCTAATTTCTTGAGAGGCAACTGTATCAATGGTAGTGACTCTGTAGGATTGTTTTAAAAACCATGAATAGTTCAAAGTTTAAGAATCACTTGTTACTTAAATTTGTTTTAAATGCTTAGTGCTGAAATGCACATGTTGCTGACAGATTGGCAGTTTCTCTTATCTTGTTTAGACTAATAAATAATATATATTACATAATGAAATAATTTTTTAGATGTCTTATCTTTTGCTGTAAAATTGGCCGTGCCATTGATTGATTGTAATTATATGCCATGTTATTTATGAATGTACCTGTTGTACAGTTCAATCTGTGATACACTTGAATGTGAAACTGTGTGACAATGAATTAACTGTTGTTTGACTCTTTCTCATGTTTTACCTTTAGCATAACACTGGCAAGCTTGATTTAAATACCCATCCTGACTCTTACATCCCTGTGATATGCACAAGTTTTTTTAAGTTTGAATTTTGGTACAGTATGTGGTGGCAACCATACATCAGTGGTTGATAAGCTCATGTTAACAATAGAAAAGCTTCTGACACTCACAAAACAACAATTTTTTTCTTTTTGATGATATTTTTGTGCTCTGAAGTTTAAAACAATGTTATTGTAGTTGAAGTTCATAGGAAAAATATTAGACTGATAGGTGTTTTCATTTAAAAATGTATTCAACTGTGATTGTATCTTTATTTTTTAATGTAAAATAAATGATAAAAAGGATTGCTGTATTTAATACCTATTACTTCAACAAGACTATAACCGGCACAAAAAATTGGTACAAAAAAGGATAGAAATGCAGTGAATGGAAAATAAGTTCAGCTCTCATCAGTCAAGTGCCTAAGAAGACGTGCTGTAATACAATCTGTACCATTGGTATCTTTAAAAAGTACACATCTTGATTTAGGTGGCAAGAGAGAGAACGCTTACGAGACAAGACAACAATAACAAACATTGTTATTCACATATCAGCAAAAATAACATTTTATGCATTTAACCAGGCTCGGTATGTGATAAAAATGACATAAGCAAGTAACACACAGTAAGAAAATAGGCAGAAGAAAGAGACAGTCAAAATAAAATAAATATTACTCTACAAAATGAACTACTCAAAACCTTCCAATAATTAAAAATTCAAGCTAACATAGCTCTCAACACTAAGCTAAGATATATGTAGTTACTGCTAAATTTCTAAGAGGAACATGTTTGAGTACCATAAAGACTTCAAGCCAAGAGTCAGAAAAAAAATTACAGGTAACTATCAAGTATGTTACAGAGAACATACATACATTCTTGTCTTTTAATTGTCTAAGTAGTAGATCAATAATACACACAGTATTCTTATGTCTTCTTTAGGGAACAAGTACTAAAGCTGATAAGGAAGGGTCAATATGTAATCCATTAAAATAAAACCCCAAAAAGGAACTTACAATTGGAATGTTATAGAAAAACACACTTTAAAATGTAATTATTTGACTATAGTATTCGCTGCAAAATAATACCTGAGAGGAAATATGAGAACCGATTTCATTGTCTAAACAGGGGCAAGGTTTTGTAAATAGGTAGAAAGGATGCATCACATATCAAGCAAACATGAAGCAAATAAGAAGTACACGTAAATATCCATGAAATAGATTTGTTGTAAATCTTAACAGTACAAAAGTTGTCTTTAAAGCATTGATGTCAGAAGGGATGTGTCTTTTGAGGTTGAAGGAGAGCAGAGTTAATTAATTTTTTGATGTATCTTGAATTGGAGAGTTGATAAGGTACTTCGACAGTGGGGATGCTAGATTAACGAGAACTGTACTGTTGAAATACCAAAAGAGAACAAACAATAGCACAAATGCTACATCTGGTCAGCTGTTAAGGTTTAACAGATGATCTAAGATGAGAAGAAATGAACATTAATTTAATGCTGGATTTAATCTTGTGAGACCCGTTGCCTCACGGTGAGGCGGCCTCACTGAGATTGCTTGCCTCAGAGGTTTTTGAGGACTGTAATTGGCTGAAAACCTCTGAGGTATGCGATCTCAGTGAGGCCGCCTCACCGTGAGGCAACGGGTCTCACGAGACTAAATTCAGCATTACTAGTAAAGTGGATGCAGACAACCCAAGTGAGAAATAGAAACGTGGATTCAACTTAGAATCTACGTCAAAATATCGAAAAGATGTGGATTTGGGGGAAAAAATTACATTTATCCGACTGTTTCACCGTCAAACCGACATCGAATCGACGTTGAAGAAAATTTCATTTCTCACTGGGAACACATACAAATTCCAAACTTGAAAACTTCATATTACTTGTTGCAAAGTAAATGCAGAACAACGATATGCTAACACTGATTTGAATCAAAAGCTATTTTATCGATAGTAACAAAATATTGGCCACTCACAAAATGGTGTGACTCATTCTATAGAACTTTATCAGACACATGAAGCAAGATATGGATAGACCTAACCAACAAAAAATCGCAGTAAAGGATACTCATAACTCTCTGTTCCCATCTTTCGACGATGTACAGCTCTGTCACCATTAGGTAACGAAAGTACCAGTAGCTAAAGAAGTCTCTTAAACTTTTCACTGAGTTGAACATTGCGAGGTGGTGACTTTTTCCACAGAATTATTCGTTGTTTTGATGCACCGTGCACCGCACCGCCGGAGCAGACCGGAGAGGGCCACTACGGAGAGGGAGAGCCTCGCAGGTGGAAGGGAGAGGGGGAAATATGGGAGAGGGAAATAACGTCACGTAATAAGAGGCAAGAGGCAAGGGAGGAAAAGGGTACTTATGTCAAAGGGAAAAAGATTAACTCTCGATATCCAAAGACATTAACTGAAAAGAACACAGCACACTGCACAATCAAAGCCTCTTTAACCAAGTGGGCAGCGACGATCCTTCTTGTTTCGTAGCATTCGCAGGACTCATGCACATCAAGGTAATCAGTGGCAAAATCCTCCTCCCACGCCCGGGTGCTCCGTGCGGTGCTCGTGACGCGGGTAGCACATCAGCAGGAAAATAGTCTCGGCTACGGGGGGAAAAAATGCTGGTAATTCCAGTTGAGCTGCGTGGAGTGCTGGAGTCTTCCTGCCAGAGGTTTACATTCCCAAGGTTATTCGTTTGCATGATTACGAGCCGAGCTGTGGGAAAAGTCAGGTCAGAGTTCAAATGGGTATCGCTCTTTGAAGCGCGGCTATCCCGAAATTCAAAATTCAGACCTCCGACCACTTCTTCCCTTGAAAATGTCGGCGATACTTGCTGAAATTGCAGGCTTTCCAGGTTCAACAATTTTTTTGCCCGCCCGCTCGCACCCGAAAAAAAGAAACTTCGATGTACGAGCCGCTCCTACGTTCAAAATAAACCGCCTAACCACGTGACCATGCGAATGGTGTCCATTCTGGAAGGCTGTGTTAAGCAGACTGCGATCTTAGCGCACGTAGCGGTGTAAATTAGAACTTCAATGGCGCTAGGGGCTTTTGGAACTTTTCTGCTACGTTTATGTTTAGATTGTAAAAGAAAACAATAACAGGCAACTCGATGAAATTTGGAGATTTGGTTGAACACTTCTCCGCCAGAGAGGCCGTGTGCGGTAAGTTTTTCGCTAATACTCTTTCTCTTACTCGGTTAGGAATTTCAGATTACTCTCTGTGGTACAGGTGCAGTCTTGACCATAGATAGTGAGATGCTGGTCCAGATGATAAAATTTGCTTTTACCCCCCTTTTCTTGTTTCTTTCCTGCTTTTAAATCAATAGTTGATAAGACAATTAGTTACCGTAGCTGATGACCGTTTAATCTGAGTGGTATCTACCTTTATTAAGGAAGAAATTCTTAACCGTAAAGCCCTTTCTACCAATGCAACTGTTATCTTAATGAAAGACTCTCTCATGCCCACCAAAAAATCTTACAGTTATGATTCCTATATTCTAACGCTGTTTCTTTCTTTAAAAAAAATATTTCAGCCAAGGGAAGTCCATAACGCATTGGTTTGTTGGAAGAAAACTCCCACCTGCACAATGCCTCTCAACTCAGGTAACCAAATTTATCTCGTGATAAGTGTTGCATATTTTTACCCATGCCCATCAGTTTTAACTGTGTATTTCCTACTTCTCGCAGATATATCGACTGCTTTGCAACTGTTGGAACACATTCAGCACACCATCAATTCAAGTGATGATGTGAAACTTCAGTCTCAAACCACAGATGATCTTAATCTCTTGATATCTGTCCTAGAAAACCCCATTTTTCGAAGTATTGTTACTATTCAGGTAAACATTCATTTGAAATGCTTATTGTTATTGTTTGTTGGACATGTCAATGAATGTGGAAATTTTATTGTTATCTGATTATTCTTTTAACAACTTTTTCTTTTTCTAGGATTCACTCACTGATCTAAATCAACAACTCCAAGACCACCCATCAATTCTGCCTGTTGATTTTGATATTGCTCCAACTGGAGAGCTAGTCCTTAATGTCCCAAGAGAACCGGATCTGTACTACCTGCATCATGGATCTCAAGAGTTGGATGACCAACGTGTGCCCCAGCTCTCCCATAGCAGTTCTGGGGATACCAATTCTCCCCCACAGGTAGGCCTTTAACAATTTTACCTTATTCCTGCTTTCATAACATTTAAATCTAAAACCACTTCTTTCTTGTAGATGCACTTGGTCCACAGTCCGGATGGAACCCAGCCTCCCATCACCACATCAACATATGCCCTAGAGTTTCAAAAGGCAATTGAGCAGTCATCACATGGCAGGCAGATTCTTTTTATTCAGGTATTACAGAATTTCCTCTTTTTAACTTTGGAAGAATGACCGCTCCAACGCCTAATTTTTTGAATTATTTTTCCTTAGCTTTTTAAGCCTGAAAATACCAGTCTTGGATTCAGCGTCGTCGGATTACGAAGTGAAGACAGAGGAGAGCTTGGAATATTTGTTCAGGATATCCAGATAGGAGGCATTGCAGGACGGTAAGTGTTCCCATCAAATCTAAAGTTCAGGAAACTAGTTACCTCCACAGCCTCCACTGTGCTGCACACTTCTTGTATTTTTTAAACTGATGCACATGAAGTGTCCATGTTGTTGGGGATTTAGAAGTAGTATTTGAGATTGACTATCTCAAAATAAACACAAGCAAGCCCTCACCTTGTGTTTGTTAGGCGGCTCCTTATTTTAATACTCAATAACGCATTGAGCACCTTTTACCGGTGAAGTTTTGTGTAAGTTGCGTCATAACGCCCGGCCTTTCCAATGAGTCACCTGCGGAATGTGGCACCGATTATCAGCTGCGCTAAATTGTCTTATCTCCATTCTATTTCCTCTGATGTGTGTTGTGTGTGTGTGTGTGTGTGTGTGTGTTTGACTCCCCCCCCCTTTCCCCCCTCCCCTCCACCGTTTTCCTCCGCCCCCCCCCCCCCTTTTCCACGGCCCATCACACTCCAGCCTCTTGGCGTCAATCTATTTCCGTGCGGCGGCGGTGGGTGGGTGGCGAGATAGAAAGGGCGTGGCCGCCCGACCCGGCTCCACCCGACTCGGCTCGGCTCCGTTCGGCTCGGCTCGGCTCGTCCTGGTCCAGCCCGACTCGATCCCCTCCGCCCCCGCCGTCCTCCGAGGGGGTGGAGGTCAGCAGCTGTGTAAACACACAGGAGGGGGAAAGGGGTAGGAGGGGGATGAGCGCCTCTAGGCTCTACACAGGCCCCGCCACGCCACGCCACGCGGTTCCTCGTCGAAGAACTTTATGCAAGTGGAGGTCCGCCGCGTGCCGTGACCCGAGAGCGAGCGGAGCGGTCCGAGCCAGACCGACCTCCCTCCTCCCTAATGGAGGCGGGGATCGCCTGGGCAGGGGGGCGGGCGGCGGCGGGCCGCCCGCTTGCGCTCCAGCGCGCCTGTGGAGCCGGGGGTAGGCCGACCCGCCCCACACCGCTGCACTCGCGCGGCCTACCTCGCGGGCTGACGCCGCCGCCGCTGCTTCTCCTACCGTCCTCCCCCGGAATATCTTTCTGACGCTGCTCCCGCCGACAGCCACGGCCATCTCATGAAAAATGACAGAACTAAAAAAAATACCCCGAATTAAAGAAAAGAAATAGGGTTTTAAAAATGAAAACATACGTGGAGGAAAATAAATTGTCAATTTTTGCTGAATTTTAGTTGTTTGCTTTTCAACCCTCTGAGGCAAGGCTTGTCCTCCGGTGCCCTCAGTCATCACTGATCTGAAGTGACCGGTAGTTCCGGCTTTCATTTTGCCTCCGCAGTGGGGTGAGGCCCCGCCGGGCGCCGCCTCAAGGTGCGCCGCCTAAAGGTGCGCCGCACGCCATCCGTTGCCGCACGCTTAACAAGGCCGCTTGTGGCTCTTTTTTTTTACCACACCGCGCGATGCTACGCACGTCCCTTTGTTCATGTACTCTCTACGGCTTGTAGAAACGTCGTTCCCGCGCCGCCTCAGACGCGCGTCTTGTGTGTTTTTTTTTTTTTTTGTTCTTCTCCCTTTTCCTCTAGCCTGGCACTCCCCCCTTCCCTTTGGCAGGACAGAGACGTGTTTGTAAAGGGTGTTCTTTTTCTTCCCACTCTTTTTTTTCTCTATCCCCCCCCCCCTCTCTTTCTCTTTCTGCGTCTCTCGTCAAAAGAGTGTCTCGATCAGGGGGTGTTTATCACAGGGCCACCTCTTCCTTTGTAGTTTCGGTGCTCTTTGTGAGGTTCGCGATGACGGAGCTCACACGCCTCCCCTTCACTCCGACTCTACTATACCCGGTTCAGCTGTAGACGAGCGTCGAGATAGCTGGCTCGCGTGAATTCCCCCCTCTCTCCCTCTTTTCATCTTTTTCTCGTCTCTCCCAGGATGACCACTCTCCGGGAAGGTCAGCGGAAACCCGTCGAATTAGCCTTGAACTTGTGCGAAGATTTTTTTTTTCGGTCCTAAAAGAAATTGGAATAAGGCCCGGAGATTCCAATAAGGGGTACCCGCCGAGTGAGTGACTGCGCACACCCTGCTCTCCCAACTCACTGAGAATCCGTTTGATTTCTCTCAGTCTCTCCCCTCTTTTTCTCTGATGCTGTACGCCACTGCCGTGCGTCGTTTTCCAGGCTGGCAGGCCTGAAATCCTTTTCCGAAATCCATCTAGCGCCGGGGCCACCAGGGGCCAGCAGCACGGCTCCCCTACTCCTCCGCGCCGCCCTGCTCCTAGTCCCCAAGCGGGCTGAGCCGGGGCGGGGCGTGGGCGGGGCGGGGCGGGGTGCGAAGTCTCGCAGCACATTTTCCAGCCGCAGTAAATGAAAATAGCCGGCGGGGCCCCGAGCCAACGGCGGAGGAAATGGCGAGATTCTTTCCCTCGTCAGGGCTGGCCGGGCACGCAGGCGGGGTGAGGCGGGCGGGGCGTCCTGCTGCCAGCCAGGGGAGTAAGGCGGCGCACAGGCGCCATAGGCCTACTCTATGAAGGGGCATTACTCCTCGTCAGTCGCGGGGACGCGCGTGGCGTGCCGAGCTTCACAACGGAATGCGCGCAGATTCACCCTAAAAAAAGAGAAACAGAAAAATTGTCCGTGTCGACGTGTGCCTGCAGAAGTGGCGTATCTCTGAAGAGGCGCGCATCACTGGCGGATCTGCGCCGGCCCGGCCAACACTGGCGGATCTGGGAAGGGACGGTCATCACAGGCGTATCTGCGTTCGTCTGATATGCACAGTCAACTTTGGAGGCCTATTGCTTATCGTAGGTATGTCGTATAGTATTGAGTGAAATCAAAACTCAATCACGAGGATATAAACATTGCAATGAGACATCAGTCAATACTGTACGACATGCCTACGAGGAGCAATAGG